TCTTTATGATTCTTTAAAAAGTGTGAACTTTTCTTTGAAATGACAGTACAAAGAAATAAATTATAAGAAAGCTCCCGAGAAACTTTGTTTGTCTCAAATTTTGATTTCTATATTAGTTCATTTTGTCTGCTTGCACATCAACGTTGTCTTACCTCCACGTATGGCTTTGAAGGTATGGAATCCGCTAGTGGTTTGGATGTGTACACCTATTTTTTTTTTATCAGCAAAGAAAAATTTCATTAAACAGCATGGAATTAAAAGTACAGGAAAATGACGTGCATTGAGAGAGATTCGGAAGTATAAAAATACCCCTACTACTGCTACTCGCATCCATACAACCAACCCCTAAGCCTCTCGATTTTTTTTTTTTAAACCAAAAGAGCTAAAAAGAACTTAACTAGAGAATTTAAAATACAAGAATCCCCACATACTCAACCCACCAAAAACACCCAAAACTAACTAAATGAACTAACCCATCATCCAAAATAAGCTAACAACACTAAACCACTCCTCTGCAGCTACAACTCCCAACACGCCTCTGCTACGTGACCTGACCCAGCACGCCTCTGCTGCAAGAAACAATAAAAACACCCCTGCTGCAACACCCACTGCCCGAGAACACCCACTGCCGAAACCCACCCCCCCAGGCCTTCTTCTCGCTCAGAGCATCTCCAACCCATCCTTCAAAACTTCAAATATGAAGGATCCTTTCTAATATTGAGCTCCAACCCATCCTTCATTTCTTCCTCCCAAATGAAGGAAGATGGATTGATCCTTCAAATATGAAGGGAGGATGAACAAAATGAAGGAGCCTCTAAAACACTATTCACTCTACATTTCTTATTATATTTAAAATAACTTTTAATATGTAAATTTAATTTTTATAAAATTGACATCAATAAAAAATATAAAATCATACCTTTAAAATGAGTATAATATTAAATATAGTTTACAAAAATTTTAAAATTAAATATTTATTAATGAACAAAAATTGCTTTTTGATTGGAGTTTGAATGAAGAAAATGAAGGTTTGTGGTTGGAGTTTGAATGAATAGTGACCTCCTCTATATTTACTTTTTGAATAAAAAATATTATTTTCATCCTCTTAAGAAGAGGATGTGGTTGGAGATGCTCTCACACCCAAAACCCACGCCTATGCCTCTGCTGCCAAACTCCACAGACCAACACCCACTGCCAAACTCCCCAAAAACAACACCCAACTTCACCCCTCAAACTCTCCCTCGAGGAGGAGCGCACGAGTGCCAACCGGACAGAACTGTATCACCTACAATACCCTTGTTAGCGCCCAAAAACGCACCCCTCAAACTCCTACTCGCCAAAAGCGCTCGAATGAAATCCCTGGCTGACCCTGAAGAATCGGCTATTACGGCAATGTTGAAACACAAGAGGACAAACTGATGACCAACCAAAGCAGCTCCTAAAGCACAAACTCTCCCGCAGCAATACACCTAGGTGGGAAGAATGGGGGACTCAAGTTTATTGAAAGAAAGAAAACTAACAAGGCTACCGCTGAAATGAGCTAGGCCAGCCGACCGCCATAGCCAAAGGCGGCGGCCGGCCAGCCCAAAAAGAGGCCGGAGAAGGAGGTTTAAAGAGAGAAAAAAGAGAGGTTTTTTTTTTTTTTAGAGAGAGAGCCTAAGTTTACTGCTTTTTACAGTTTGGCGGCTTGGATGTGTACACCTATGAAGAGCTGGAGTCTATCACAAAGGGATTCAGCACTAAAAACTTTATCAGGGATACCCAATTTGGAAAAGTGTTCCGGGGCAAAATTCAACATGGTTTGGGAACCCAAGAGGTTACAGTTAAAATTTGGGAAGATTGTAAGTGCGTACAATCGGAAGCCCCGAGAATCTCATTTGATAGTAAGTAGCTGAAAAGACTTTGATTGGACACAGTTTCTTATTGAGCTTGATGGTATGAAATCAAGTTACTGACTAATTCAGGCGTGAATTGGCTTCCAAACTTGGTGAAGTTGATTGGATATTGCTGTGAAAATGGACAGTTGGGTGTTGGATATCAGCTACAACCACTTGATACTGTAGAAAACCTACTCATACAAGGTGATCTAATTATCTAGTTTGGATTTTTTTTTAATCACTAGTTAGCATGCCTTTTCCTATTCAGACCTTGATCTGTTCAGAAGATTAAAAAGATTTTGCGGGCAAAAATAAAAATAAAAAAAAAATTGAAAATTTTGATCAGTTAAAACAATAGACCACTGTACTATTACTTGGGCACGGTGTTATGGTCCAAAATCTTGAAATAGAATCATTTGTGTTTGTTTATTGTATATTTTTTTTTTTTGATCGGCGAAGAAAAATTTCATTAAAAACATGAAATTTACAGGTTCAAGGAAATAATACGCACTGAGAGAGATTCGAAGAGTAAAAATTCACTCTCCTACTACTGCTACTCGCGTTCAAGTAAAAATTTATTGTATATTTACTAGCCATTTTTCATTTCTAGATGATTTTAAGTGGATTGCTCGAATCAAGGTAGCACTTGGATTTGCACACACTCTTGAAGTTTTGCATGGGCGAGTACTCTTGCTTCGAAATGTTAATGGAAATCATATAATGGTTGACAAGGTAGGCCTTATCCTTTTTTTGCTTCTTTGCTGTGTTAGTATTAATGTTCTCTTAAAAAACTTTTTGAAAAAAGTTGTAAAGCTTTTATGTTATCTTGGCATGTAGGCTTTCAATCCCATATTGTTCAACTTCAATATGCTTGTTGGAGGAGTGTTTGGTGGAATTCCTCAAAAGGAATATTTTTGGGGGCGTTGTGCCCATGTGGATCCATACATTTGCAAGTCTTCTAAATGTTTGTTACATTTGTTTTTATTCTGTACTCAAAAGACAGCTGTTTGATTGTTTATTCTACCATTTCAGAATGTGCTAGACATCATTATTAATTTTTTACATGCTTACATAGTGATTTTTTTTAACTCGACTTTTTATCTCAATGTCCTAGAAATAAAATTGAAACCTTTTAAGAAGTTTTGCTGTTAGAGTTACTTTCCTATAGCAGTTTGAGTAAAATTTTGTTTTTCTTTCCAAAATTTTGAATTATTTGTTGTTTCTACAGACCAAGACCCTCAAATCTAAAATGATGAAATTATTTCCTTTTATTTATTTATTTTTTGGAATCAATGTTAGTTCTAAATATATTGATTGCATTATTTTGTTCAATGGGGGTTGTAAATTCTTGGAAAAAATTTAAAATTAACTAGGATTAATTACACTTTACCTTCCTATGATTTAGCTCAAAAAACACATTACCTCTTTATAATTTAAAAATATACACATAACATAACCTTATTGTAATTCGGAGTAAAATATAAAGTCTAACAGTCGATAACTTTTACAAAAAGTCTAAATTACCCTTATTTTGTTGTTTAATTTTCTTTTGTATGACATCACAATCCAATCTTTCTCATCGTATTGGAGCTTAACCCACGACATCACCAGCTGTTTGCACATCCAATGACCATAATCTCTTTCTGTTTTTTTCACCGTTCTGCAGCGCTTACTATTCTCTTATTTATTTATTATTTTATTTTATGGAAGAAGCCATGGTTGTCCTATCTGAAGCAACCACAAACCAAAACCCAATTCCAACTTACGGTGCACTCATTGGTAAATCTACTTAGTGTTGGGTAAGATGTAATTGAAAACATTTTGTTTGTCTTGGGTAGTCTCTAAATAACTTTGGGTACTTATTGACTTACCAGTCTTTGCATTACAATTTGCAATTTTAATTAAACAATGTTTCCTTTAATTCCAATTGGATACAATCCGTTTCACAAATTTGTTTGGAGATTTGCTTTTGAACCTAGATATATACATATATATATATATAATTCAAATTCATTTACCTATTTCCTATGTCTCTGCAGTTCCCTCTTCTTCTGTTGCCTTACCTTCTCTTAACACTCATCCTATGATCACAAGGTCTAAAGCCTGTCATCTCACTCTTGCTCCTTCTCTTGATCTTACTCTTACTGAGCCCACTAATGCTACTCAAGCTTTGCAATCTTCTATTTGGACTACTGCTATGACTGAGGAGTTTCTTGCTCTTCAAAAACAAGACACTTGGAAATTGGTCCCTCTTCCCTCTCACAAAACTGCCATTGGTTATAAGTGGGTCTTTCGTATCAAGAAAAATTCTAATGGTACTATTGCCAGATACAAGGCTCAGTTAGTGGCTAAAGGCTATCTGCAACAAGAGGGTGTGGATTTTCAAGATACCTTCAGTCCAGTTGCCAAACAGCCCACAATTCGTATTCTCCTCTGTCTTGTTCTTCAGCATCAATGGTCCCTTAAACAGCTTGATATATCTAATGCTTTTTTGCATGGTAACCTTGAGGAGGAGGTTTACATGGTTCAGCCCCAAGGTTTTATTGACTCAGATTTTCCTCATCATGTTTGTAAGCTTCAGAAAGCTTTGTATGGTCTTAAACAGGCCCCTCGCGCTTGGTATTCCACATTTTCTTCATTTTTACTAGGCCAAGGCTTCAAGGTTAGTTCCTCTGACTCTTCTCTATGAGCCTCTGTGAAGGCCACTAACCCAATTTTCCTAGGTTAATAAATGATTAATCATTTATGTTCTATATGCCTTTGCCTACATAGGGGATGGTGGTTTGAGATGATCTAAATAAGTGCACTTTTTCACTTTTTATGAAATATGAGTTAGGTATAGGTTAGGTTTGAAGTGATGTGGTAGAGAGATGATGTGCCCTAAATAAGATAATGTAACTTAAATAGGATAGTGACTTTTTGACTTTTTTAAATTATGACAAACAGTTTAGATTGTATTTTTTATTATTTTTTTTTTTGATCGGCAAAAACAAAATCTTTATTGATGGAACATACAAAGTATGAAATATTACATCGATAAAGAGGAGCTTGGAGCTAAGAAAAAGCTCCAAGCGATAGTTGGTGAGGAACCAACAAAAAAGAGCAAGATAAAAGACAAACAGATAGATGAACTAGTCTATAACTTGGAACTAAGAAACCAAACTGATAGATAAACTGGCAGGAGCCAAAACAGATAATAAGACTGATAAGCACTGACTTTTCCCCACTTTGACAAGCTTTGCTTACATTAAACAACTGAAACAATGGAGCCACAGCAGAAGTCGACCACCATAACAGAGATAGCCTTCCCGAACAATTCAGCCCACAATTCAGACCACCAACTAGGCACCATAGCAGAACAGCATACACCAACAGGGCAATACAGCACCCACTAACTAGGCCCCATAGCTGAACAGCAAACACCAGCAGAACAGCATACACCACACTACTCACCATAGCAGAACAGCAAACACCAGCAGAACAGCATACACCAACAGCTCAACACAGCAACATACACCAATACAGCAGAGCAATACAGCAGCCACAATACCAGAATCAATACAGCAGCCAACACCAGAGCAATACAGCAGCCACAATAATAGGAACAGCACACAACACCAGAATCACTATGTAGGTGTAGCAGACCCTCCCAAGCACTTCCTGATTTGCCTCAGATTAAACACAAAATCCTGAACTGAAAAGTTAAAGCCACAGAAAACAGGTTTTAACCAAAAAGGGTGTACTGTTGGGCAAGAAGGGTGTACTGTTTCTCAATCTCTGATTATATTCAGTAATAAACTACTGCTAGATTTATTTATGCTTCCACTTCATTAATGTTTTTTACCACTTGGGAAAGAACTTTGTTCTTGGAACTTTAAAATTTATTTTGTTCCAAATTCGCTAATTGTTGCGAAACAGCACAGGTTCTCTCTTAACCTCAATTAATTTATGTAGGAAAGTCATGATGTCTTGGGGACTTCCTTATTTTAGAAGCCGATTTGATGACGAATGAGTACAAATTACTAATTTATGTCTTACTGTTTTGAACTTTTGCCTTGGCATAATCTTAATTGGGGATGAAGTTTTGATTGGAGGTAATATGACAGTTTAGCATTATGACATCGACCTTCTTTTTTCTCAGATTTTTTTATTTTGATTTGTTTCGACATTGTTTTGTTTTATTTTTAGAAAATCATTTGAGGATGGGCCTTGGCACAGTGGTAAGGTTGCTCCATTGCGATGTGGGCGTCATGGGTTCATACAATGGAACCAGCCTCTTCACATGCATCTGAACTAAGACCCCACAGTGCCGTGAGCTTCTTGAAATGTGATTGCCCCTTGCCCTTCCTTTCTGAAAGCCATCTAGAATTAAATTCTAAATGCAAGGTATATATGAAAACTATAGAATAACGAAGGTAATGATTTAAAACTTGAGAGATAAAAATGATTTAAAATTTTAGAAGTTAGATTGTCGGAAAATTACAAAGCATATGTATATGAAAGAAAATAAATAGTATAGTTATTTATTACTTTTAAATCCAACTTTTGCAGCTTGCACTTATTTGGGAGGAAAATCGGCTGACAGTTTTTATTCTTTTATCTTTGTTTCATAGGATTAGGATTTTTAGGGGAAAAAAAAGGAAATGTTCCACAACCTTACATTCCACATCAATGGTTAATAGATCTGTCATGGATTATTTTTTATGCAGTCGGTGTCTTACAGTTGATTAAGGGTATGAGATATATGTCCAACCTGTCACTTACTCTTGCCTAGAGCTCCAGACAGCTTAACCATTTTAAGTTCAATATGTTTGTCAGCATAGAGGTATAAGAACTAAGAAGGGTTCAGCATCCCAGTTGGGAAATACTTGTGTATATGCATGATTGATGCCCATGAAATATAAACAGGTTCAGTATATATTTTATTTTGTTCCAAATGTTTCTAATTACTGCTGTACATGTCTTCATGTGACTTCAATGACATCAAAAGGATAGTGTCCTGATATCTTTGTTTTCTCCCCTATAATAGAAGACACTAGGAAGATGAAGGACTTAATTGAATTACCCAAGTGCTAAGTGGTTGTTGGCCAATTTATTATCGGCTTAATGGCTCTGCACATGATGCAACTACTGGATGATAACATCGTACATCCTTTTCTGTACAAACACTACACAAGTAAGAAGTCCATTAGAGGCGGCCTCCAATGAAGTAACCCAAAAATGTTCTTTTGTTGGCTACAGGTCCAATGATACCTTTTTCCTTTTCATTTGTCTCTGCTTTATTGTTATGTGAACATTATAGCCATTTAGGTTAATGATATTTCTGGAAATTTGAATGGTCTGACAAGACAGACCAACTAAACTGTTATACCCAAGATACCATGTCTTGGAAGTGTTGCACCCTGAGTTTTGGTACACAATAATGCTTTTAACTATTGTTTTTCAAAGGATTTAATTCTGCATTTAACTGTCTTCATCTTTTCAAATTTATTAATATCGTTCATTTCATCAAAAACATTTTGAACGGTCTTTCCTTCACTATTATTACATGCCAATGATATACATACATGGAGAATAGATTAAAGAAATTTAGTTTGGAGAAGCTTACACCTGAACGCTTTTAGGGTATAGATTGGCCTTGTGAGGGGTAAACTGCCTTGTCTTATGCTTTCTCAGTAGATACTGATCCTACTAGGGTGAAGGTTCAAAGCTAATTCAAGAATAAGGTTTAAGAATCCTACTAACTTTTCTGGATCTTCTAGCTTTCTGCTCTTGTTAGCTAGGATAAAATTTCGTGCTCCATTTTTGAGCCTTGGCCATTCCGGTAATAACTAAAAGGGTTAATTACACTAGGACTGTCACGATTCGCACCCACGTACTCAAGGGTTAAGCATCGTGATGGTCAATAACTGAAGTTACCTCCGGCCAATTCTTGAACAAATTAATAAATGCGAACGGAAATAATATTTAAGTGAAGGTATCAAAATAATCATCAGAACTTCTATTTTTATTACAAAATGTATTGACCAAAAATACCGATATTTACATAGAAAAATATCATAAATTGTTGTGTGTGTCTATTCTGCAGCCCCGCATCTAAGACTTTCCAAAAGTTATTTCTGAATTGCACTGTTTCCTGAAAATTGGTAAACAGCTATAAGCACATGGCAGAGTGAGAAATATTATACCAAGAATATAAGGGACACAAAATGACCATGAATAGTTATGTAACTAAAATATTTAAGATAACTTAATCTGAACAAATAATTATTTAAGTAGCAAAGCTGAGATTATGTAAATAAATAACTATAACTACGGAACCGAACAAAACAGAACAGAACAGAGGTCATAGGAGTGACAGTCAGAACAGAGGTACGGATTCAATAGGTGGCTCGTACGAATTATAGAGGTGGCTCCCACAATAGTATTGCACTTATCTCCTCACAGCACTTTGCTCCACACAGAACAGAGATCAATAGATCTATGACAATAGAGGCCTACAAGGTGACAAAACAGAGGCTAATGGTTATTTAAGTCCCCGAAGACATGAGACTCAAGAGGTGGCTCGTACGAACTCTAGAGGTGGCTTCCTGAACAGTGTAGCACTTAACTCCGTGTAGCACTTTGCTCCACACCAGAAATCAGAGGGTCAATAGATTCATGACAGACAGAGGGTCACAAAGTGACCAAACAGAGACCAATGGTTATTTAAGTCCCCCAAGGCGTGAGACTCCCATGGTGGTACTTACAAAATATAATTATTTATAAGGTTATTGTCAAATATTCTTTGAAATATAAACAAACATATCCATGAGTTTCATTTTAACTAAACAGGGGTCAGAAATAATCCACATAATTGAAATATTAATATAATTTATAATAATTTATAAAACATAACTTATATAAAATAAATATGATAAGTCAAAACATACGTAAAATATATTATGGTAACTCAAGTTATAATATAACTTACCTTAACTTTAATACCTCACTCTTTCTTTCCACTATCAAAAACCCTCTCAACTTCCATTATTTTTTCTTTATTTTCTTCCTTTCTTTCCCTTCTCCTTCCTCTCTCTTTTTCCTTTTCCCTTACTTTCTTTTCTTTCACCCAGCAAATTCTCTCTTTTATAGGGAGATAGCCATGGCCCCAAGCCGCCAAGTTGCCACATGTCACATTCCCATCAATACGAAATTAATTCAAGCTTATCTCTAACCTATTCAAGGGATAAGCTTAACTTAGTTATTTATTTATACTTTGACTCTTAAATTCTTAATAATTATGTTATTTTACAAAATTATATATAATAATACAAAATAAATCATATATTTTCCTAACTATGATTAAATAATATTAGTATAAATTTTACAGAATAATTAAAAATCTGGATTGTTACAATCTTCCATCTTTTTAAAATTTCGTCCTCAAAATTTGTCATATGTGTAAGCTATCCGCTGCGCACTCTGATAAATATACATCAGATAATTAATCTGATAGAAAATATTACCTCAAAAAAAAAAAATTATCAAAAACAACTCACTGTCTAGTTGTCAAAAATTGTTTTGGCCTAAAATAAGAAACAATCGGTACCTTTAAAAACTTTTCACTAGTTTTATTTCAGCTTATCTCTAACCTATTCTTATCTCTAACCTATTCAAGGAATAAGCTTAACTTAGTTATTTATTTATATTTTGACTCCTAAATTCTTAATAATTATGTTATTTTACAAAATTATATATAATAATACAAAATAAATCATATATTTTTCTAACTATGATTAAATAATATTAGTATAAATTTTACAGAATAATTAAAAATCTGGATTGTTACAATCTTCCATCTTTTTAAAATTTCGTCCTCAAAATTTGTCATATGTGTAAGCTATCCGCTGCGCACTCTGATAAATATACATTAGATAATTAATCTGATAGAAAATATTACCTCAAAAAAAAAATTTATCAAAAACAACTCACTGTCTAGTTGTCAAAAATTGTTTTGGCCTAAAATAAGAAACAATCGGTACCTTTAAAAACTTTTCACTAGTTTTATTTCCGAAAATAAAATAAAATGAGAACACGATCAAACAAGTGACTAGAAGTGAAATGACAGAGTCGTATGCAAGAGTTGAACGAGTTTGAGATGAGCTCCCATTTCTTTTATCCGTGAACTTTCCACTGATGGAAAATAGTTTCAAAATTAGTATTTTTAAAACTTTCAATCATATTAATCATCTAATATATATTTATCTGAGTGCGCAGCGGATAGTTTACACATATGACAAATTTCGAGGACGAAATTTTTAAAAGGAATGAAGATTGTAACAATAAGAAAATTTAAGTTGTCCCTTAAATTTTATACTAGTATTATGATTGTATGTGATAATATATTATTAAATAAATAATAACAAATACAGAATCTAATTTGGCATTGGATTATCAAATATGGGATTAATTAGGGATTATTATTTGGGGCCAAATTAACAGAAATATGAAATTATAATACTAGTTGGGCCAAATTAAAATTAAAGATAGTAAATAAATAAATATAAAAGTAAGAATAAATAAATAATAATATTAATAATAATAATAATAATGGGTGTGGTAATAAAATAAATAATTAATTTACTGTTAGTATACGATAGAGTGTAATTTATTTATGTAGTTATAATAGAAAACTGGGTCAAAATGTAATTATCTTAAATATTTGTTAAAAATAAGAATAATCCATGAATTTATTATCAAATCTGGAGAGGGATATGCGGGCCACGTGTTGGCTGAATGATACGTTCACCTCCCTATAAATAAGGAGGAGGTGATCCGGGGAAAGGAAAAGGGAAAAGAGAGAGGAAGGAAAAGGGAAAGAAAGGAAGAAAATGAAGAAAAAATCATGGAAGTCGAGAGGGTCTTTGATAGTGAAAAGAGAGAGTGAGGTATTAAAGTTAAGGTTAGAGATAAGCTTGAATTAATTTCGTATTGATGGAAATGCGACACGTGGCAACTTGATGGCTTGGGGCCATGGCTATCTCTCTATAAAAGAGAGAATTTGCTGGGGTGAAAGAAAGGGAATGAAAGGAAAGGAACTTAAGGAAAGAAAGGGGAAGAAAATACTAAGAAGATCTTTGGTAGTGGAAAAAAAGAGTAAGGTATTAAAGTTAATGTGAATTATATTATACCTTGAGTTATCATAATATATTTTACATATGTTTTGACTTACCATATTTATTTTATACAAGTTATGTTTTATCAATTATTATAAATTATATTAATATTTCAGTTACGTGGATTAATTTCTGAACTCTATTTGTTAAAATGAAACTCATGGATATGTTTGTTTATATTTTAAAGAATATTTGACTATAACCTTATAAATAATTATGTTTTGTAAGCACTACCACGGGAGTCCCACGCTTTGGGGACTTAAATAACCATTGGTCTCTGTTTGGTTACTTTGTGACCCTCTGTCTGTCATGGATCCATTGACCCTCTAATTTCTGGTGTGGAGCAAAGTGCTGTACGGACCTAAGTGTTACACTGTTGTAGGAGTCACCTCTAGAGTTCGTACGAGCCGCCTCTCGAGTCTCACACCTTGAGGGACTTAAATAACCATTAGCTTCTGTTTAGTCACTTTGTGGCCCTCTATTGTCATGGATCTATTGACCTCTATTCTGTGCGGAGCAAAGTGTTGTGCAGAGATAAGTGCTACACTATTGTGGGAGCCACCTCTATAATCCGTACTTGATAAGCAACCTAAGCCACAGCAGAAGCCAGGAGATCTGAAGCAACAAGAGAGAGACAAAGAGTTGTATAGATATAAGAGAGATAGTAATGTAACTGTAAAGTAGTTAGAGGCAGTTAGAGTTTGTCAGTAGGCAGTTAGAGTTTGTTATAACAAACTCTAACCATTTTGTATAAATAAGTGTAAACACAATCACATTAATTCATCAAGTAAAAAATAGTTTTCAATTTTCTGTTTTTCTAATTAGTTTTTCAACTTCTGTTATGGCATCAAAGCCAATACAAGCTCCTACGAGCACGGTCTAACAATGGTGCTTTCATCTTCTTCTTCATCTATACCATCAAATCTAAGTATTCTTCTTACAAATTTCAATTCTTTAGTCACTGTTAAGCTTGATTCGTCAAATTTTTTGATTTGGAAAAATCAGCTTCAGAATGTTCTTAGAGCAACTGATCTTCTTGATTTCGTTCTTGGTTTGGTACCTTGTCCTGTATCTGACATTCTTGATTCCTCTGGAGCAACTATGTCAAATCTTGAATTTCTAGAATGGAAGACGATGGATGCTCATCTTCTGAGTTTCATCACTGCAACACTCTCTCCTTCTGTATATTCTTCAGTACTTCATCACCAACACTGCTTTCAAGTCTGGAGTGCTGTCAAGAAGAAATACACTTCATTATCTCGATCTCATATTCATCACTTGAAAATTCAGTTACAATCAACCACAAAAACAGGTGCTACGATGGAAGAATATTTGGCTAAGATCAAGGAAATTTCCAATCAGCTTCGACTTGCTTCTTCAATGGTTGATGATGAAGATCTTGTGCTTTGCACTCTCAATGGATTACCTGATGAGTATGATGCTCTCAAGACTGCAATTCATGCTCGAGTAGAGTCTATTTCAATGGAGGATCTGTGATCACTCCTATGTTTTGAAGCCATCCACATAGAGAACAAAACCAAACTTGTTCTGCAAAATGAGTCTACAGTTGCTTATTCTGCAACTAAAAGTTCTGAGAATTCACAACCTTATTCTTAGTATTTGAGGACTCATTCCTCTGCACAGTCTAGTTACAAAGGCATAAATTCTTCCCATGGTTTTTGAGGTGGAAGATATAGAGGAGGTCGATCAAATCGATCTTACAGAGGAAGATTTGGAGGAACCAGTCCTAGTTCTTCAAATACTTCTGGTTGCCAGATCTGTGGAGGATTCAATCATATTGCTTTGGACTGCTGGTTTCGTATGGATTCCAACTATCAGTCGTCTCACTCTTCTTCATTCTCTAATCCTTTCATGTCTCCATCTAAGGCTTATTCAGTCACTACCAGTCCAACTTCTTCCAATCAGAATCAGACTTATTTTTCTCCATATTCCTCTGCCACACCTTGGTATATTGATTCTGCTGCCACAAATCATATCACAAATGACCTTGGCAATTTTCATCTCTACCATCCATACCAAGGACATGATCAAGTGACAGTTGGAAATGGTCAAAATGTTCCTATTCAACATATTGGTAAAGGTCTGTTGCCTACTCCTCAATATTCTTTTGAGCTTAACAATCTTCTACATGTTCCTCACATTTCTTCCAAACTCTTATTTGTTCATCAGTTAACTAAGGATAATAATAGTACAGTTACCTTTGATGCTAATTCCTTTGTTGTTCAAGACAAGGTTACGAAACATGTTCTGCACCAAGGTCCTAATGTGTATGGTCTTTATCACTTTGCCTCCTCTTCTCCACAATCTCATCCAGCTCATATTGCTCATACTTTCTCACAAGTTTCATTACCTATTTGGCATCAAAGGCTTGGCCATCCTTCACCAGTAAAATTTCATCATATTTCACAACATATATCTTCTACTTTTAAGAATAAAGATTGTACTGAATTTTCTTGTACACCATGTAATGTTGCTAAAATTCATAGGTTACCTTTCAAACTATCTAGCTCCACTGCTAAACAACCATTTTCTCTTGTTCATAGTGATGTTTGAGGACTATTTACTGCTTCTGTCTCTGGTTATAAATACTACTTGTTGTTTGTTGATGATTTCACAAGATTTTCTTGGATTTATCCCCTTTATGCTAAGAGTGATGTTTTTTCTACTTTTCTGGTGTTTAAGCCTTATGCTGAAAATCAATTCTGTACCTCTTTAAAAATCTTAAGGACTGATAATGGGACTGAATTTGTTAATACTAAAATGCATGATTACTTGACCACTCATGGTATTGTTCATCACCTCACATATCCTTATACACCAGAACAAAATGGTATAGCTAAGAGGAAGCATC